GGAGTTTAGACTATAGTACCTATGGGGTTTGGAAGGTGAGGTTTAGTCGCTCCTTGACCTTTAGATAGACCTCGAACCCGGAAACTCCAACCTCTAAATCCCTTGCAGGTCCTAAACCCTACAGCTAAACTGAAACCCTACAGACATCCTAACCCTAAACCCTAAACCCTAAAACCCTAGAACCTAAAACCCTAAACCCTAAACCCCAAACCCTAGACCCTAAACCCTACACCCCCTAAACCCCCCCCCCAATTATACACCCCAAACCGGAGCCTCGTCGGTACCCTGCAAGGCTGCAATTCCAACAACACCATCCTTAGCCAGGGTTGGAATGCATGCAGGGTTTAAGGTTTAGGGTTTAGGGTTTCGGGTTCAGGGTTTAGGGTTTAGGGTGTAGGGTTTAGAGTTTAGGGTTTAGGGTTTAGGGTAGTTATCAGGGTTTGGGGTTTAGAGTGAATACCCTGAAAACCCCAATATTGGGTTTAGGGTCTATGGTCTTAACCTCTAGTATCCGCCTAAACAAGCCGTATAGTAATCCCCTATACAATCCTCGATAGAACCCCCTGTACGGAGTTTGGGCTATAGTCAAACACAGCCTGCGAACGAGATTGGGTCTTTAGTTTTTTGGGCTAGGTGTTTCTGAGCCTCACAACTATACCTCAATGGGAAAGATGTCTGACACATGGAGTTGACAAAGCGCTCGCATTGGCTCTCTTGTGGTTGCGCACTGCTTGCGGACAGGTTTGTATGAAGCTTTCACAGACGGTGCTGAGCAAGTGAGATCAACTGTCATTTCCCCAAACTCTAAACCACAATCAGTGAGACCTGAACCCCCAAACCCTAAACCCTAAACCCCGAACCCCAATCCCTAGACCCTAATCCCTAAACCCCCAACCGTAGACCTTTAATCCTTGACCCCAGCCTTGAACTGCCCAGTAACATCCTTGCACTCCCCGGAGAGCGGGTGGTAGCTCGCCATGACTGGTGGCTCCGGTGGAGCCCCGAAACGTAAGCAGAGGGAGCGTGAGACCTAGGTAGAGTTTAACGGTTCAAGGTTTAGGGGTCACCAGTTTGACGGTTCAAGGATTAGGGTTTAGCAGTTTAACGGTTCAAGGTTTAGGGGTTAGCAGTTTAACGGTTCAAGGTTTAGGGCTTAGGGTTTAGCAGTTTAACGGTTCAAGGTTTTAGGTTTAGGGCTTAGCAGTTTAACGTTTGAGGGTTTAAGGTATAGAGTTAGGCAGACGTAAGACGAAACAGTGGTAAGCCTAAGCACTTAATTAACCCTAAAGTTACACGGGAGTTTCCATAAATTGCGGGGAGCCTTCTACACCCCAATACATTTCACTCTTACTATCAATACTCGAAACAAAGGACCGCTATCAGAGACTACAGGTTGTAGGATAGCTCTAGCTTGTGGCTTTCTCGAAATTTGTTTTTCTCTTTTTTTCTGTGACCTTTTTCCACCCGCAGGCAGAATGCCATGATGGCAAGGTCTGGGGGAGTCAAATCTCCGAAGCCGACCATAGCCCTTAGACCGCAGCATCCACCAATCAGACATCAGGCTAACAATCAACTTGTCCGCACAACTCGAAGTTGGTTTAGGGTTTAGGGTTTAGGGCTTAGGGTTGGGGGATTGCAGGGGGCCCACTTGAGGACCCAAACCCTCAAACCCCTGAACCGCTTAACCCTAAACCTGCTAACCTTCATTCACTAGACAGTACTGTAAACCCTAAACCCTAAACCCCCAAAACCTAAACCATACTTCCAAGAAACTGATGCAGTGGCCAAAATGGGTCTGGTCCAGATCTCACAGCGCCTTCCGCCGCCGTACTCCAACCCATAGCAGACCTAGGCTTATGGTTTGCTGAAGGGTTTAGGGCTTATGCTTTGTTTTGATTGAAGGCTTCTCAAGATCAAGGATACTTGCGCATGGATCCCCATAATCAGGATTGGAATATTTTTCTGCCTATATCGGGGTGCCTCGGCTCATGCAAACTGCCATTCAGGGCTTGAGGTCTCAGGGGTCCAGAGGCTTATTTGGAGGATAGGATATAATTTCAAGATCTAGGTTTTATGGTTTTGGGGAGTGTTCTTCGGGATGGCTGTTTAGGGTTTAGGATGTAAGTTCGGAACCTGAGCTTGGGGCTTCTACACAGTGCAAGGCCCCTGTACTTCTACACGCTGAAAAATAATGGGAGATGCAGTATACCCTAAACCCTAAGCCCATGTAGGGACTACTTCAGGTGATATGTATTGCTTCTTATCCTCAACTCCAGTAAAAAAAAGTATGGCTAGCAAACTTCTAGACACGGGGGCAGCAGCACAAAGAGCCTTGCAGCCCTCCAGGTGCGTGACTTTGTGCAAAACCTTACTGGTGCAGGTGGAGTAGGGTAGGACCTCAACAAGGACTCTGTCGTAGCATCCCCCAAAACCCCAAAACCCTAAACCCTGAGTTTTGGAAGCCCCACATAATAGTCGGCAGAATTGTCTGTTGGGGAATCACCACGGCATGCTCGATTCTCACCGTCTGTTGGGGAAAGCATGCCTCGGCCGCAGCTTCCCTACCAGGGTTTGGGGTTTAGGGTTTAGAGCTTGGAATTTAGGATTTAGGCTTTAGGGTCTAGAGTTTAGGGCTTAAGGTTTAGAGTTCGAGTAGGTTCCTTGTAGCTCCTGTGACATAAAGACAGCTTGGCAAAAAAGTACAGCAAGAAAGGTCCCAAAACCCCTAAACCCTAAATCCTAAACCCTACACCCGTAACCCTAGACCCTAAACCCTACACCCTAAACCCGAAACGCTTAACCGTAAACTAAGGAGGACTAGCAAGCATTTAAACCCAAATTATTGAGGTAGGGGTTCTTATTGCAAAGAAATTAAATGCCTATAGTTCAATGCTTCCTAAGTTTCCTAATAAACCCTGAACTCTTAAACCCTTAACCGCGGAGAGAGGCTGATAGGCCAGCCAAAGCGGAGGCACTGAAAGACACCCCAGGCTGCTGGCGGGGTGGACGTGGCCGAGATGCCTTCTGGGCGCGTCCACACTTCGCAGCGGCCACTGGGGTTATATTCAACCCCTTTGCAGGAAGA